CATGAAATCCAAGACCATCATCGCCATGTATGGGTGCATTTTGTGAGTTTGACATATTTTAACCCGAGAACAAAAATTCTTGACAAGAACAAGTGTGAAAATAACGTGTGTTATTAGAATCAGTACCGAAATAATCACTATTATCTTTAGCCCCACGGTGGGCGCTAGACTGTTTACCCTAAAATCTGAGTAACAATTAAACTTGTATTGTGATTTTAAGGATATGTGATTTAATCCAATACTAACTGATAAACGAGGAATCAAGTGTATAAATTAAAGAGTGAAGTAAATCAAACCAGTGTGCAAGCAAATCTCGACCTCGAGCTATGGTAGCCTCGAGGTAGGTTAGTCAGAATAAAATATAAGGCAATTTAGATGAAAAGTAAGAAAGAAAGTGATATATGCATATTCTCTTCGATGATTGATGCGTTACAAATGATTGGGATCCCCTTTATACAGTATGGGAATCCTAAATAAGGCACACTTCTAATTGTAGTAGGGAATCTTATTATACAACTGTCTAACCGCCTAGTACAAATCTGTTCCGAAATTTACGCCATGATCTTAGGGCCATTGCGGAAATCTCGCTCTTTCTGTTATGAAACCATAACAGTATTATCTCGAGGTTGGTCATACTTGGCTTCGGTGTTCATCGAGCACTTCGATCTTTGAGTCTTGTACTCCGCCATCGGGCTCGAGCCCGGTCTATCTCGAACTTGTTCTCGAAGCGACCCCTCGAGCCTACGGAATCGGGCATACCTGATTTCGACGGTATACATTTTTATTTTTATGAAAGATGGACATTCTACCTAAAAAGAAAGATACAATGAAAATGTGGAACACAATATCTGTTGATTGAAAACAAAAATTGTTGCTGCTAATAGATTTTATAAAAGTCACTTTGGAAGAACAAAAGTTGGTGTATTATATAAAAAGTCAAATTACATGTTCATTCCCTAATTTAAAATCTATATTCCAAGTCTCATTTTTAATAGGAGTAAATGTTACTCCTATTACATTCATTTTGAGTGGCCTACCAATAATATTCACGGCCCACAAATTGCTACCTTTTTCTTATTTTATTTTATTTTGTATGGACGAGAGAATATGCCGCTGTCTCTTTCTCTTTGCATTTCCACCGGTCCACTAATTCGATTCCTACTCACTGGCTAGTGAGGAGTACGGTCTCTTTTTTTCTTTTGTTTTTCGTTCGGTATTTGATACTTGCATCCAGATTAATTCAGATACACAATGGATAAAATCGTTAAAAAGGAAAGTACTTCTTACGGAAAAAAAATTTATTTTTAGAACTCGAACTCGAAACTTTTAATTAAAGGTGAAATAATTTTATTTATCTCACTCACTTTCTCAGTTGAAAAGTAAGTGCTTATTCTAAAGAAAATGGAACATGCTTTCCTTGTTAATTAATTTCTAGCTTAGATTATTCGCACTCAGGGGCGGATTCAGTTCAATAGCTACGGGTTCCCGTGAATCCATTAGCTTTTGTCTAAGACCTGTATTTGTATTAAAAAATTCATTAAATGTATAAGAATATTTAGCTTGAAACCCAGTAGAATGTAGAAAATAACCAATATCCTTCCCAAGATTCTCATTATTTTATAGCCAATTATTATATGATGGTAATGTTCGTCATTGCATAGCGTAAAATGATGAATTTATGAACTTGTTCATTACCGAATACCTAAAAATAAATCACCTAACATGCACCCAACTAATTCATTCTGCCCTTTCTACAGAGTGCAGACCAAATATCACCACATATTCCTCAAAATATCTCCTGCCATTTATTTATGTTTCAACCCTACTTCTCCTGTTTGTAACTTGCTTTCATCTGCTATCTGAGGAAGGCATTGTCAGAAGCTGCATCTACCTTTATTTATTTCTTAGAGCATGTCACTCGCGAAACTCCAATCCACTATAGTACACTATGCCTCAATCCCAAGTAAGTTGGGGTCGGCTATATAATCTAGGAAAACAGAATGAAGAATGCTGATTGACACTAGTGGAATTGTAAAATACTAACAACAACAACAGCAACAACCCAGTGAAAACCCACAAGTGGGGTTTGGGGACGGTAGTGTGTACACCCCTACTCTAGAGAAGTAGAGAGGCTGTTTCCGATAGACTCTCGGCTCAAGAAGATGGAAAGAGACAATGGAGCAGTAACAGTAAAGGAAGCCAGAAAGATAACACCACCAACGTAATAACCAGAAAATAGAGCGAAAATTGTAAAATACTATTGAGATTAGCAAATCATAACATTGCAAGACTGAGGAATGAGAAGCTGAGAGAGTACAGTACTGCTAGCAGACTGCTCAACCAAGTCATTCACACAATGCAAAGACCAAATGGATTATCAAAGCTAATACCTAAGCAAAACCTGTCTTAACAACATTTGTCTTTCCAGTCTTGTCACTAGTACATTTTCTGTACAATGAGCAAAAAGGAGAGCAAGACTTATTCACAACATTTAAGGCTGTCCTAATTTAATTTATGATTACAGATTCATTGCAGTTATACAAAGGAAAACTACTCCCTGACAGACTTCCTATCATTTAACAAATTGAAAGAGATTTAACTAGTGTTAAGATGATGAAAAAGACGGAGTATTACAAATACACGATAAGTGTCCTACAACAATTCAACTCTTTGGAACCTATTGACAACTTAATGAAGGATTTGCCCATTTTGGCTCTCCTCTGCCCGCATTGTGGAGTAGATTAGATTGAGTATTGTCTTGCCTTTTGCATATCCTTCAAGCTCAGACAGCTTGTTGTTGACATGAGAGCATCATTACATTTGTGGCATCTCTTGGTTATTTTTAATTGTAAGGCTAAGCTGAGCAGAGTATTGGTGAGTGGCAGGGGCGAAGCTATGTTGGCCCTTCGCCGAAAAATTATACTACGTATAAGGTAAATATTACTTGTTATTGATTAAAAATAGATTTTGAACACCCTTGCATAGCCCACTGGCAAAGAGTGTTCAAAATTTAAACACCCTTATTGAATTTCCTGGCCTCACCGCTGATGACTAATAACAAAGGTGACCAAGCTTATCCATACTTTTTGCAGTCTGCTGTTCTAATTCAAGTACATGCCTAGATTAAATAAATGATGTCGGGACAACAATCTTACTTCTAAGGATTCGGCTATAGCGCCTGCATTCCTAAGGATTCGGCTAAAAGAACCAAATTTGGCCATCAATGCCAAGCACTTCAAGATGTGAGGCTCTGATCAGCAAGTATTGGTCCTAAAAACAAACGTGCTGTATAAAAACTGTAATTTTAGAATCAATACTCTGAAAGGCCTAACCAATCACAAAGCTATTCTCTTCAACGAACTTGGAATTCACATATTGCAGTGAACTTTATTCACGGGCAAAACTCCAATCCATTATAATCTAGGAAAACAACATGAAGAATTCTAATTGACACTAGCGCAACTGTTAAATACTAATGAGATTTTTAAAATGCAGGACCGAGGAATGAGATGCTGAGAGTGCAGAACTACTTGGTAGAAGAACCACCTGTTTATCAGCTTAGTTTAAAAGAATGACTATCAAGTGCCAAATAATACCTAAGCGAAACTTGTCTTAGCATCGTTTGAGTTTCCAGCCTTGTCAGAAGTACATTTTTTTCGGTACACTGGACACAAAAGAAAGCATAACTTACATACAGCATCTAAGGCTGTGGTGTCCTTAATTTAATTTATGATTGTGGATTTGCTCCAGCTAAACAAAGGAATACTACTACCTAATAGAGACTTTCTATCACTTAACAGCCTGAAAGAGATTTCAACTACGAGTAAGATGATGAAAAGAAAGAACCTTGGGCCACCTAAAGGAGTATCATCACTGGTCTTGGGACTAAATTTTACTAGTTCCAAGTGAACATTTACCATACGAGCTACCCAAACACACACATGATGTTTCTGTCACTTAAGAAGTAAGCAAACGCTCGACGCCAGTTTATGTCATTTGTTTACCAAGGAACAGCTTCATACAGCTATCTACATGGAAGATAGGGCTTTCAGAATCCAATAAGAAAGTCCTAATGAATTTTGCTTCACACAAATCCTTGGTGCCTTGTTTGAATAATTGAGTGAAGGCAAGGTCCGACAATAAGCAAAAATGCAAAAGTAGTTCTACTGAAGAGTTATTAAGAGGACCTTCTTTGACATTTGATGCTACGTCCACTACATGATGCATAACTAGTTCGGAAAATGAATATTGATCTACATTCTGAGGCAAAAAATCGTAGACTAAATGTGCTCTTAACACATCAGACTATTATGATTTAATACTGCCAGTTGACCCCATTAAAGCTGAAGGAAGCTCCAAATTGAAATTACCCATTTTGTCCACAACATTTTATCTGCTCCTGCCTTAGCACCACCTATCCTTTCCCAAAACCACAAAAAAGAAAGGGGGGCCCGCGAGATTTTAGGACTTTATTTGCATAAAACCCGTTAATCATTCGAAACACACCCGAGGCCCTCGGGACCTAAACCAATAATTCCTACAAGTCATATATCACTACCCGAACTTAGTTGAACCTCCGAAACACCCAAAACAACACCAAAATGAAATCAACATCGGATTCAAGCATAAGAACTTCTAAACTTTCAAATTCCACAACGACGCCGAAACCTATCAAATCACGACCGAATGACCTCAAATNGGGGAACGAATGATAATGCTCGATATAATCCAGATATCATAGTCATCTGTCTAAGAAGGCAATTGATAGATTAAATCTAATTTGTATCAAGGGGTATTCTTCAGCTGTCTAAGGGTTCAGCTCAGCTGGAAATACTGTGCCGTCACCCAAAGAAGGTTTAAACAGTTTTCAGGATTAACAGGCAGTAGTGATATCATAAAACCCCCACAAAGTACACACTACTTACCAGCATCAGGCAATATTTCTAACCCCGATCATAAATTTTCATTCACATCTCCAGTCCAAATGAGAAAAATGAAAGAAGAGACAGGTCAATCTTTACATTCAGATGCAGACAATGTACAGAAACTTCAGGTAGCCATCTACCTCAATTGGTTAAACCGACCTAAACGCCATAGTGATAGTATCATTTCTGATGTATGAGCAGCACTTCTAGCATGCATTTTACAGAAAGAAAGAATTAACAACTTGCACCAAACATTATAACAAGACTAGTTATTCTTGAAAAAAAAAACAATTACAGAAGCATTGACCCTAAAGCAGCAAAAGGTGAAAAAAGGACTAACAGTTGGCTCAGCCCACGTAAGCAGCTCGTACAGACATAACTGCGACTATCTGAACCTCTCCCTAAGCATCACCATGCCAACATACCTGCAACACAAAACCAAATTATTGAACTCTCCAGCAGACTATAAATTAAGACAAGTTATCAAGTCAGACTAACAAAACACCTACCGTCCAAGCATGAGAAGAGTAGCCTGGGGGTTGGTCCCTGGCGACACACTGAAAACAGAACCATCAACAACTCTGAGGCCATCAATGCCAAGCACTCTCAAATTCCGATCAACCACCTTCCCCACAACACAGCCACCATGATAGTGCCAAATGGTACTGACTGTTCGATGACAAAACTCCCTCATAAGGTCATCATTCGACTCATCAACAGGCAAAGCAGGACCAACATATCTAAAATCCCTACCACCAAACCACTGATCAAACTTGAAAATATCCATTGTTCTGGTTCTCAAAACATCCGCAATTTTCCTGGTTCCATTGACACACCTCTCTACATCTCCGGGGCTACTGAAGTAATTGAATCGAACAATGGGATTAGCCCTAACATCTGTCGATGCCAACCTAAGTGAACCCGAAGAAACTGGTCCAACAATCTTCTCCATGAGTGTGGCAACAGTGAGATACACCGGAGAAGACGAACTCCTGATGAAAACAGAGTTGGCAGGGGAAGCAAATGGAATGACATTAGAGGCAGCCTCCAAATAAGCCCCTGCATCAGTAATCCCCACAACCTGAATCAAAGAATGTTCCAGCGGCATCGGTGGCACAATTGAGATACCATTTCTTGGATTATCAAACAAAAACTGCCCCACATATGGTAAATGGTGAGCAACAGGAATACCCCATGTGGAGAGATAAGGCCTAGGACCAACACCACTCAAGAGAAGCAACTGTGGGCTACCAAGAGCACCTGCTGACAGTAAAACCTCACCCTTTCCCCTCACCATAGCATGGTGATATCGCCCAGCTTGATCACGAAAAATCACGCCAATCGCAGCCATCTTAGAGGGTGAATAAGGTGCTGACTGAGCTAGAAGAACCCTCTCTACACTAGCATACACAGCCACCTGAATATTGGAAGGATTTGCATAGTTAAGAAGATCAGCAGCACTATGTCTACGTCCAGAACTATCAAAAGTGGAGCCACCAATCTTGGTACCAAGAACATGATCTAAGCTAAACCCATTAAAGGGATCAATACCAGCTTCCACTAACCCATCCCTCACAGCTGATTGCCAATTCTTGAGTTCAGGCCTAAACACAATAGACCTCTCAACCCATTCATAAGATTGATTAACAACATGTAAATCCCATTTAATCCCTGACCTAACATAAAAATCTTCATCAGCTCTACTGTAAAAACCAGCATTAATTGCACTACTACCTCCAAGAATACGACCTCTGGCATTTGGAACTCCGTCTTCAGAGGTGAAGGTTTGAGCAGGGGACTCAAAATCATCAACGTCAGTGAGTACTGTGAGAAACCCTTCTTGGCTCATCAAATTAGGCTTTTCATATGGAACACCGCCTCTTTCAAGAAGTAAAACTTTGTACTTCTCTGACAGTGTAGCCGCCAGTGGACAGCCGGCGGTGCCACCTCCCACCACGATGTAATCATAGTAGTCTTCCGATGGGAACTCCGTTGCATTAAACAAAAACCGCGTGTAATTTGGACCTATAAACAAAAAAAATAACAAATTTTCACAAGAAATCGTCAAAACTTTATGTGAGAATCTATAATCAAACAGAAATGTTTAAAAAGATCGAGACATACTCTCGTCAGAGGAATCAGAATGTGTTGTGGGCAGCGAAATTAGTATCATGATGGTGAAAAAGACGAAATATGACCAGTAAAGAGTAGAAGATTTTGCCATTTTTTTACTAATCAGAAAATGACAGTTGTTTTGGGTCGCCGGAGGGATAGAAGATAGGTTGTTGAAGAGACGAACAAGGGCGGTGGGGGTAGTGGGAGGGGGGTGGGTGGTTTCTGAATGGTGGTTAGTAGAGAGAAGAGCAGTGTCTTTTTGGTGGGAAATATAGTTGAATTACATATGTCAACAGGGGAAGAGCGTTGGCAGTTATACTACTCTTTTGCGCCAATACCCACCTTCTGTTTGCCTTTGGATATTTTAACGCAGTTAGAGTATTAGAGTATGCAAAAAATGGCACACCTTTTCATCTTATACTTATTACTCCACTATTATTCTGACTACATTCATGTTTAACATCTCCTTTTATCAATTTTTGTTTTTTTCTATACTTTATAATTGTGAGATGTGAATTAATTTGTGTGTATTCGATTTTTTTTATCACATTTGTTACCTCCCACCGACATATATATTGAGTAACTTGACACAGAATACTAGGAATGACAGGCAGGGCGGGGGCGGGACAGGTTCTGTCTGAACCCGCACAATTTTAACCCGCCCTCACCCTGCGCCGCATAGGATTTAAACCCGCATTCACACGCCCAACACTCCCACTGCGTTCACCCGCCCCCGCCCCGCAATTTTTTTCAAATAAAAATTCTCACTTTTCCTTTTAAAAGATGATTGTGACATGAAAAACAAAACGCCTTTTACAAGCTACATTTTCCATTCATATATTTCAAACGTAGAAGAATCGCTGTTTATTTATCTCTCAAGCAATATATGGCTTCAGATTTTTTCAACAATTAAATAGCAAGGAGCAGTGCTATCATATACAGGGGCGGATTTATGCTTGCCGAAGCGGTGTCACGCGACACCGCTTCGTCGGAAATTTTACTAAATATATGTATTAATACTGTACGGAAACGGCTAAGTAGGAAACAATGACACCATATGACCTTTTCTAACTTAAGACTCAACAAAATCTATAGATTGGAGCTATTTCTTGTCTAAAAGTATGATAATCAAAGTTATATTCCAGCTCTTTTATAAATTTCGACACCGCTTACAAAAGTTCCTGCGTACGCCCCTGATTATATATGGTAATAATTATAAGTGATTCAAAAAATAAAAGACACAATTTTTCCATATGAATTTAAATTGAATTCCACCAGCAAACAAAAATGAGAAGGAGTAATACTAAAAGATGAAAAAAAGCAGTTTTAAAACTCCATAACAGTTAAGAATGTAACAGTTCTTTTTAATTTGTTTACTTTCAAAATTTCTAACAATTTCAAAAGCCAGATCATTCATTGTATCTAGAGTTCTAGACACAGAATTGATGACAGTGTATTTTGGGCTGCGAAGATCATTTAGTTCAAAAAATCAAATCCCTGCCCCGCCGACCCGTCCCGTCCCACGTGATTTTTTTTATTTAAAATTTGAACCCGCACCGCCTCGTATCCGCACCGTCCCATGCCATCCCTATGAAATACCTAAGGCAATCTCCAACCTTACCCCCATTCCCCGTAATGGAGGCAATTTTTGGGGTAATTTAGCTCCAATCCTCCCCCATTTTTGTTCCCAAAATGGTGGATGAATAGTGTTCCCTCAAATATGGGGGTACACTATTCATCTCCCCCATTACTATTCATCACTTTTTTATTATTATTTTATTATTTAATCTTTTAATTTGTCTATTTATATATACCTAATTATGTTTATGTAATGTCTTTATAATATTAATTTTACATCTTAACTTTGTGTATAATTTTGATAAATTAATTTTCGTGCATTTATTATTTTTATGTAAAATTGTAAGTAAATTTTATTATAAGTTATAATTGTACAAAAAATATATAATTATCTCAAAAAATGAATGGTGCAAATATAAAATATTCGATGTTGCTAAAATTGAAAGGTGCGAATATAAAATATTAGATGTTGCTAAAATTGAAAAGTGAAGATTGAAAATACATTAAATGAATTTGATCGTTATGTAATATGTATTTAATTAATTTTGTATTGCAATGATTTCTTTTATCTGAATTATTAGTTAATCTATAATAATTGCTTACAAATTATATTATTTAAAATTTTATGGAATTGTTTTAATGGAAATTACAAATTAATAAAAATAAAAGATGGAATTTGTTTAATGGAAATTAAAAAATGAATTGAAATGAAAGATAATAATATAATATAGAAGAGAGAGAAGAATATAAAAAAGTTTGGGGGAAAAAATAGGGGAATGGTTGGAGTAAGTTATCCTCAAAATGGGAAAATCCCCATTTTGAGAACAAAAAATGAGGTAAAGGTTGGAGATGCAATCCTTTTTTGTCTCCACCAGTCTCCCTGAGCTTTGCATTAGGATGTTGTGTGAATTCAAGGTTCACTGTTAGGACTCATCTTGCCATGAATCAACGTTTTAGTATTTGTAAATATTAGATACAAATATTATTATGACCAGAAGTGTTGAGATTCACGTGAAATATTATTTGATTTTCAAGTGAAATAATGAAATATTGGGTTTGTTCATAATTCTTCAATTTTCGTATAATTTTTTTTTATAGTGTATTCATATCCAAACAGAAATTTAATTCCATAAATTTTTTTCAAACTTCAAATATTTTCTAGACACCTACTTAGTAATTAATATTGATTATCATGAGAGAAAATAAACAGTTTTTATTTTGCAATATACTTTTAGTACTTCCCAAGAACTTGATCCAAGCCCAAAACAATAATTTAATTGGTAAAGCTTACCAAGTGCAAATGCTTAAAAGGAAAAATAGTGTGACACATCAAACATATACACTATATTTACTATTCGTAGTTATACTTTCAGAAAATTATTATTCGTAGTTATACAAAAATAAGAGATTAATTATTTTGAACTGAAACAAAAGAACAACAAGCTCTCACACTTAGTTGGTTAGACCACCCGCTTAGTAAGTGGAGGTCTTGAATTTGACTCTCAATGAAAGTAATTTTTTTTTGTATTTCGCTTTGGTTATATTCGTTGTGCGATACGAATACAGATCTATGTCATTTATAAACCCTTGTATTTGGTTGTATACGTTGAGCGATACGAACACAGTTTGTATCCTTTTGTATACGGTAGAAATCAGAGCTACCCGATTTCGTGGACTCGAGGGTTACTTCAAGAGAGAAATCGAAATAAACCATGAGTGAGCCCAATGAGAGGCTTCGAAGATCGAAGTACTCGATGGACACCGAGGCCAAGCATGACCGACCTCGAGATAATATCGTTATGATCCCATAACAGAAGGAACAAGATTCCCGCGGTGACCCTGGCATCATGGCATAAAATCCGGAACGAATCCGTACTAGGCGGTTAGACAGCTGTCCTAATAAGATTCCTTACTGCAAATAGATATGTACCTTATTTAGGGTTCCCCCATTATATAAAGGGGACCCCAATCATTTGTAAGGATCATCTAACCATTGACAAAGAATATACTATCTTATTTTTCTGGCTCATTGTTCATCAGACTTGTTTTTCTCTTTATTGTTCTTACTTTGTTGTTCTTGGTTCGTCTCGAGGTCACTAACCTCGAGGCCGATACCGTTTGGTAACGCGGGTTTGATTCATTCATTTCTTTCATCTATACTTTATAGTTCTTGATTATTAATTGGTATTGACTAAATCACATATCTTTAAAACCACAAATCAATTTTAATTGTTACTCGTATTTTCGAGGTAAACAGTTTGGCGCCCACCGTAGGGCTAAAGATAAAAGTGATTATTTCATTACTGCATCTCATAACACACGTTATTTTTACACTTTTTCTTGTCAAGATTTTTTGATTCTCAGGATTAAACATGTCAAACTCGCAAAATGCACTTATTCATGACAACGAAGGTCTTGGATTTCATGGGAAAAACAACAATGTAGGGGTCGGTGTACCACCGATAAACCTTGGGGAAGTGCCAAATGTGGAACCAGTTGACGTTAGTTCGCGCATTGCTTTAAATGCAGACTTAGGCGCAGACCCCGGAGAAAGTGTATGCAGGGAAGCCCGATTTGGGGGCCAAGGAACACCAGGTGTAGGAGATGGGGGAGTCAGCCTCCAAGTGATATTCGAGATGCTGCAAGCTCAGCAGATCGCCATCGCTCAACTTTAGAGTCAGAATAAAAGTCCGAGCATAGCTGAACCAGAAAACACTCGAATTGCTGAACCAGTGCCAGAGAGGTCGAACGAAAATGGCTCGGGGACTGATCCCACTATTATGAGAATGCTCGAAGAGCTCACCAAGAGGATCGAGTCCAGGGAAAAGAAGATTGAAGACAACGACAAAAAAAGGAAACTTATAACTCCCGTGTTGACCAGTTACCGGGAGCTCCCCCGATCTCAAAGGGATTGGATGCCAAGAAATTCGTACAAAGGCCGTTCCCTCCAAGTGCGGCTCCGAAGCCCATCCCAAAGAAGTTCTGTATGCCCGATGTTGGCCCAAGTAAAGGTTAGTTTTGAAGACTAACAAAGGAACTCAGGCATGAACCAAGTCCATCCCTCAGGTCCATCCCTCAGGTGCACAAAAACGGGTAGATTCGAGCATGTGGGATGCACGTGAAAGAGATAAGCTTAACTTGGTGTATTTAATATCTCCTGATCGAAAAGATTGCATAATTGATAAGGAGAAGGACTCCTTACTCGAAGAGAACATTATCCAAGATAGGGAAGGAGTTAGAAGTTGAGATCAACCAGAGCTCTTCCACCAAGGAAGAGTTGCATCAGAACTCTAGTTATTTCTTCATCTACTAACTCTATAAATTGCAGGATGTTCTCACATTACACGTGTTACACAAAAACACAGAAGTTAAACGTGAATTGAGAGCAAAATAGCAAGGCTTTTTGCAAGCAGTTCGTGTGTGATTCAAGTGTGCAAACCTGAAGCTACATGAACCAGATTGAAGAACCAGCTCCATAAAGAGTTTTATGTGTCTTTCTTTATTTCTAGTTCAATTGCAGTAGGTGTTTTCATATTGTACCTTTCATCTTTATCTAGAAGCAATTGTAATAGGTACTTTGAGTATTCAAGTTAGAGTTAACTTGAAGTTGTCGCAACAGTTAGAGGTTGGTTGCTACAACGGGATTAGAGGTAATCCTATGTTTACAAAACAGTTCTGTAAATGCAGTTTTGGCTCAGTGATTTTAGTAGAGAGTTTGGGAAAATCCTACTGAGTAGTAGGTCGTGGGTTTTTCACCTTTTGAGCCAGGTGTTTTCCACGTTAAATCTTTGTGTTCTTTAATTTCTGTACTTATTATTCTGCAACAGTAGTAGTTGGAACACATAGAAGAACCAGGTCCTTCCATAATCAGTTTAAGCGAAAAATTGGTCACCAAATAAATCACCCCCCCCCCCCTCTTGTGTGGTATTGAAGTATAAAACATCACCCGATATACCTAAATACAACGGAACCTCTGACCCAAATAAACACGTTACTTCTTACACATGTGCCATAAAGGGAAATGACTTGGAAGACGATGTAATCGAGTCTGTACTGCTGAAGAAGTTCGAGGAGACTCTATTGAAGGGTGCCTTAATATAGTATAATAACTTACCCCCTAATTCTTTTGATTCGTTTGAAATGCTTGCAGATTCTTTTGTAAAGGCACATGCCGGAGCCATTAAAATTGCAACAAGATAGTCAGACCTTTTCAAGGTAAGGCAGAAAAATAACGAGATACTTAGGGAATTCGTATCTCGATTCCAAGCGTAGAGAATGGATTTGCCTCCGGTCACCGATGACTGGGTTGTTCAAGCTTTCACTCAAGGTCTCAACACTCGGAGTTCCATAGCGTCACAGCGGTTGAAGTAAAGTTTAATCGAGTATCCGGCCGTCACTTGGGCCGACGTACGTAATCGATATCAGTCGAAGATTAGGTTCTAAGACGATCAACTAGGGACTCCTTCGGGGTCCGTTTATCCTAGTAGGATCATGGATAGGATCAAAAGGGATATCGATCGAGAGCCGAGGTCGAATAGAGATCGATATCAACCATACAACGGAGACTATAGAGGCAGCCATTCCGGGCAAAGCTTCACATGAAATGAGAGGAGAAATGATCGAGGTCAAAATTCACGGGGCTTGATGCCGAGGAAGATCACATTAAGTATCCAAAGTCTGAATAACGGTAAGACCCCAGTCCAATCTTTTCTGTTTTTTTGACTAACACTTGCAGGCTATCGATAAGGACCGGCACGAAGCTCTGGATCATGAAGCACGTGTTGTACTCTTTTTCCCTTCCCAAATAGTTTTTAACAAGGCAACCGTCGTTCGTGCTAACAAAAAAGCAATTCAACAGTATCCAAGGTTCCCTACAGCAAGCCTCGAATACTGGAGGGCATTACCTTTGAATGTCTGCTCTGTGACAAGGAAATCACTTCGTGATAGCGGGCCTCGATTGGAAAGTATTGTAAGGGCCAAACGGTTAGATGAATCGTGCCCGTATAGGTTACTCGAGCCCTAGACACAAGCATGCGCGCATGTATAATCATCTATCAAGAGAAGTACTTTTGCTTGTCGATATCCCCTGCCTTTATAAAATTTTAGATTTTATACTCTTGATCTATTGTGTTAACAGGCTTAAGGGCCGACCACGCCGGAAATTCGAACAACTGACCCATGCTTGAGGATTGCTGTATTAAAATCAAACAGAATCAAACAGCTAACATTTCGAGACTATAAGACCTTAAAGGCAATCCTCGATTTTGCAGGCCACGGCCACCCCACTCGAGGACTGACACTTCGGGCAAGCTCGAAGTGAAACGAAAGATCAGCCAAAAGGGAAAGTTCCGAACTAAAGAGGCTATGGCCAAACTAACGCGGATCAGAGACATCCAAAATCCGTGACAAATACAAAAGCCCAAGGGCTACCTTAGCCCGAGTTCGAACAAACTCTCACTCGGGGACTATCTATGAAGCCTAAGGGCTAACTTTACTTCGAGTTCGATCAAAACCTCACTCGATCATAAAAGCCTAAGGGCTATCTTAACCCAAGTGCAAGCATGTCTCGAACACTCGAGGACTATTCACTCGAGCTATCTGAGTTCGAAATAATAAGACCTCAAAGAGGCACTCCCGATATAACAGGCCAAGGCCATCATACCCGGGGACTAACATATCAAACAAGTTCGAAATGTTGTCGGGAAACAAGTCCAAGAGACATACCCCAAGGCTACGGCAATATTAAAGACTACGGTCATATAAAAAGGCTACGGCCAAAATAACGCGGCTCAGAGACGTCCGACTCCATAAAATTAAAGGCCTTCAAACACTTTGAAAAACCGGTTAAACCAGGCTACCCTCGGCAAAAGCGAATAACAAAGGGCTTTGATACAATCAGCCCTCGGATAATTTAAAGGCTTCGACAACATCAGCCTTCGAAAAAGCCTCAAGAGGTATTCGATTATCGTAACACAAACGAATTATAAATAAGGTTCCAATCAGTCAAACATTCGAAAAACCCAACGGGTACAAGAAACACATGCTAAGGCATAGAAAAAATTTCACTAAGTCTTTTAGCCGAAAAGAGGGAAAAATTATAGCCGTTATTAGAGGCCGAATTGGCCCAACTCAAAGAGCCTAAGGGCCAATACAAAAAAGCCTAAGGGCCAATCCAAAGTGCCTAAGGGCCAATATAAAAAAGCCCAAGGGCTACCTTAACCCGAGTTCAAGCAAACTCTCACTCGGGGACTATCTATAAAGCCTAAGGGCTGACTTTGTTTCGAGTTCGAGCAAGCACTCACTCGACTACTAAGCCAAAGGGATACCCGAGTTCGAGCAAATTCTCACTCGGGGACTATCTATAAAGCCTAACGGTTAACTTTATTTCGAGTTCGAGCAAGCACTCACTCGAATACTAAGCCCATGGGCTAGCCGAGTTCGAGCAAATTCTCACTCGGGGACTATCTATAAAGCCTAAGGGCTATCTTTCATTTCAAGTTCGAGCATATACCCACTCAACCATCAAGCCCAAGGGTTACCTTACTCATTGACTGTTTGGCCTAAAAGCTACTCAAACTCAAGTTCAAACGATCATTCGGGGTCCATTGATCAGAAATGGTCAAGGGTAGTACTTATTATCGATTATTACCATCTCAAAACTTTGGATATTCAAAGGGAATTTTATACTAAGACGCTCTGACCCGCACAAAAGGGTAACAGATTCAGAAGCCATGGAAGAAAAAAAGCTTTGTATAAACCTATTAATAAGGGCTATGGGTCACGATCAAGAGTTCCTCACCAGGGCCGATCAGCCTCAAAAGCGAAAAATTACGAAGAACACGAAACCTAAGCAGCGCGATCCTTATCGGCAGAAGTATCTTCGCCCATAGAATCTTCTCCACCGCCGGACACTAGAGTTCTCGAAGTCGTCCTCGGGAAAGTACAACTTATAAGCTTTTGTTTCCTCAGTCGCTTACGTCACGATGATGATGTCGTAAGAAATTGGGGTAAAGATCAAGCACTCAATTTGTTTCTTGTCGTTATACTCCAAAAAATGAGGGGACTATCTGTATACGGTAGAAATTGGGGTTACCCGATTTCGTGGACTCGAGGGTTACTTCAGGAGAGAAATCGAAATAGACCATGAGTGAGCCCGATGGGAGGCTTCGAAGATTGAAGTACTCGATGGATACCGAGGCCAAGCATGACCGACCTCGAGATAATATCGCTATGATCCCATAACATAAAGAACAAGATTCGCGCAGTGACCTTGGGATCATGGCATAAAATCGAAACGAATCCGTACTCGGGGGTTAGACAGCTATCCCAATAAGATTCCTTACTGTAAATAGAAACGTACCTTATTTAGGGTTCCCCATTATATAAAGGAAACCCAATCATTTGTAAGGATCATCTAATCATTGACAAAGAATATACTATCTTATTTTTCTAGTTCATTATTGATCAGACTTGTCTTTTCTCTTTATTGTTCTTACTTGTTGTTCTTGGTTTGTCTCGAGGTCACTAAGCTCGAGGCCGATACTGTTTGGTAACGCTGGTTTGATGCATTCATTTCTTTCATCTATACTTTATACTTCTTGATTATTAATTGGTATTGAACTAAACCATATATCTTTAAAACCACAAATCAAATTTAATTGTTACTCGTATTTTCGAGGTAAACACCTTTATATACACCTTATATTAGTTATTTATGATAATTAGAATCTAAGCTGTAGTGCTTTATAAAAACTCCTATACTTGTAATATTTGGTTCACTTTCTCTCCATCATAAAAGAGAGAAAAACCAAGATTTGCAAATACAAAGTAGAACAGAAGTAGATGGGCTGGACTTTGTTTGCGGGCCTAAAAGAAAGGTCAGAGTACCCAGCCCGGCCCATATTGGATGAGATATTACGGGTGTCTTCTTCCCGAAGAAACACGGAGAACTGGAGCTAATTTCAGTAGGAAGTCCAGAAATAGTGTCCAAAAAGTCCACAAGTTTCCCCACATTCCCAGTTCCGACTAAGCGGCGATTCAGGTAAGTCTTAAACCTTGTAATCTCCAGCACTTGCGCCTTTCAATTTCACTTCTATTTTGTCGCTTCATATCTGTTTTACCTTAATTTGGCGTGTTATTCTGCACGATCATATACAAAAACAATAGAAGAAAGTTTATTTTTATCATTTGGTTTCTATATGATGTTGTTTTATCAATGATTGCAAATTAACTTCTATTATAAGCTCTCAATATTCTTCTCGGTGTCATCTATGCTGTTGAGTATAGGCGATATTCTATAAGGTAGTGGCTTCTATTATGTAGTAACTTTAGGAGATGGTCTAGTCTATGGATCGACACTTTTGAAATTATGATTAGATAAGTCAATTTTTCCATAGAGTAAAAGAGAACACACAATGTTCATGCAATGTTGGGAAGAAAAACTGTGGGGTCCATCCCCATTAATTAAGGAAGATTTTTTCTTCCTTGTTGGTTCCTTTTTTCAAAATTGGTAGCCTGCAGCCATCATCCCACAACAGCCCACGTTTTCTTTCTGCAGGCGTGCAGATAAAATATGTCAAACGTAGTAGGCGGTGTTCTGCCTATAAAAGGAGAGCTTCGGCTCTCATTTTAAACACCGACAAAAGAGAGAAAGAAAGAGTGAGATTTCACAGACAGACAGGGTATAAGAAAATAGTCTGTAAGAAAAATAGAGAGTGAGCGATATTGTAGTGAGGTGGGAATATCAAAAGAGGGTTATTTCTTTTGAGTGTTGTAGTGGTCTTTGGAGTATTTTACTCGGACCTACAAAGTGTAAAATTCCTTACTATAGTGATATCAGTTGCTTCTCTCGGGGCCGTGGTTTTTCCCTTATTAAAAGGGTTTTCCACGTAAAAATCTTGGTGTCGTTGTTACTCTTTTATTCTTGTTAATTACCGTATCTCGGTGCTACATTATTATTCCGCTTTTATTACCGTGAATATTATTTCTATGGGGGTTTATTCCCAACAACTGGTATCAGAGCACAGGTTCTGCTCGTTCACTGAAATACTATTCACTGTCAGTAGTACTATGCTCGGTGAAAAATAAAAATGTCCGGAGTAAAGTACGAGGTAACAAAATTCAACGGAGATAACGGTTTCTCTACATGGCAAAGAAGGATGAGGGATCTGCTCATCCAACAAGGATTACACAAGGTACTAGATGCTGATGCCAAAAAGCCTGATACCATGAAAGCTGAGGATTGGGCTGACTTGGATGAAAGAGCTACTAGTGCAATCAGGTTGCACTTATCAGATGATGTGGTAAATAACATCATTGATGAAGACACTGCACGTGGAATTTGAACAAGGTTGGAAAGCCTATACATGTCCAAAACGCTGACAAATAAATTGTACCTGAAGAAGCAGTTATACGCCCTACACATGGGTGAAGGTCGAAATTTTTTTCACATTTAAATATTTTTAACGGACTAATCACACAGCTTGCCAACCTCGGAGTGAAAATCGAGGAAGAAGATAAAGCCATATTGCTATTGAACTCGTTGCCATCTTCGTACGATAATTTGGCAACAACCATCCTGCACGGTAAGACTACTATTGAGTTGAAAGATGTCACATCGGCTCTTCTACTCAATGAGAAGATGAGAAAGAAGCCTGAAAATCAAGGACAGGCTCTCATCACAAAAGGTAGAGGCAGGAGTTATCAAAGGAGTTCAAGCAACTATGGTAGATCCGGAGCTCGTGGGAAGTCAAAGAACCGATCCAAATCAAGAGCCAGAAATTGCTACAACTGTGATCAACCAGGTCACTTCAAAAGAGATTGCCCAAATCCAAGGAAGGGCAAAGGTGAAACCAGTGGCCAGAAGAATGACGACAACACAGCCGCCATGGTGCAAAACAATGATAATGTTGTCCTCTTTATAAATGAGGAAGAGGAATGCATGCACCTATCAGGTCCAGAGTCGGAATGGGTGGTTGACACAGCGACATCTTACCATGCCACACCGGTAAGAGATCTTTTTTGTAGATATGTAGCAGGTGATTTCTGCACTGTGAGAATGGGTAACACAAGTTACTCAAAGATTGCGGGGATTGGTGACATTTGTATCAAGACAAATGTCGGATGCACATTGGTTCTAAAGGACGTGCGGCATGTACCTGATTTGCGGATGAACTTGATCTCGGGAATTGCTTTAGACCGAGATGGATACGAGAACTATTTTGCAAATCAAAAGTGGAGACTCACTAAAGGATCATTGGTGATTGCAAAGGGAGTTGCTCGTGGCACGTTGTACAAGACAAATGCAGAAATATGCCAAGATGAATTGAATGCGGCACAAGATGAGATTTCTGCAGATTTGTGGCACAAAAGAATGGGTCATATGAGCGAGAAGGGATTGCAGATTCTTGCCAAGAAATCACTCATTTCTTATGCCAAAGGTACAACGGTAAAATCTTGTGACTACTGTTTATTTGGTAAGCAGCATAGAGTCTCATTTCAGACATCGTCTGAAAGAAAATTGAATATACTTGATTTAGTATATTCTGATGTTTGTGGCCCAATGGAAATTGAATCAATGGGTGGTAACAAATATTTTGTTACTTTTATTGATGATGCTTCATGAAAATTATGGGTTTATATTTTGAAAACCAAAGATCAGGTGTTTCAAGTTTTTCAGAAGTTTCATGCTCTAGTAGAAAGGGAGACGGGTCGAAAGCTAAAGCGTCTCCGAAGTGACAATGGAGGGGAGTACACTTCAAGGGAATTTGAAGAGTATTGTTCAAGTCATGGGATCAGACATGAAAAGACAGTTCCTGGAACCCCACAGCACAATGGCGTAGCCGAGAGGATGAACCGCGCCATTGTGGAGAAGGTGAGAAGCATGCTCAGAATGGCTAAACTGCCTAAGTCATTCTGGGGTGAAGCAGTTCAAACAGCCTGTTACCTGATCAATAGGAGTCCATCAGTTCCATTGGAGTTTGACATCCCAGAGAGAGTTTGGACCAACAAGGAGATGTCCTACTCACATCTAAAGGTGTTCGGTTGCAGAGCTTTTGCACATGTACCAAAAGAGCAGAGAACAAAGCTGGATGATAAATCTGTTCCCTGCATATTTATCGGATATGGAGATGAAGAGTTTGGGTACAGATTGTGGGATCCTGTAAAGAAGAAGGTCATCAGAAGCAGAGATGTAGTCTTCCGAGAAAGTGAAGTTGGAATTGCTGCTGATATGTCAGAAAAGGCGAAGAATGGTATAATTCCTAACCTTGTTACTATTCCTTCTACTTCTAACAATCCCACAAGTGCAGAAAATACGACCGACGAGGTTGCCGAGCAGGGGGAGCAACCTGGTGAGGTTATTGAGCAGGGGGAGCAACTTGATGAAGGTATCGAGGAAGTGGAGCACCCCACTCAGGAAGAAGAACAACCCCAACCTCTGAGGAGATCAGAGGGGCCAAGGGTAGAGTCATGCAGGTACCCTTCCACAGAGTATGTCCTCATCAGTGATGAGGGGGAGCCAGAAAGTCTTAAAGAGGTGCTGTCCCATCCAGAAAAGAACTAGTGGATGAAAGCTATGCAAGAAGAGATGGAATCTCTACAGAAAAATAGCACGTACAAGCTGGCTGAACTTCCAAAGGGTAAAAGACCACTAAAATGTAAATGGGTCTTTAAGCTCAAGAAAGATGGAAATGGCAAGCTGGTCAGATACAAAGCTCGATTGGTGGTTAAAGGCTTCGAACAGAAGAAAGGTATTGATTTTGATGAAATTTTCTCACCTGTTGTCAAAATGACTTCTATTCGAACTATTTTGAGCTTAGCAGCTAGCCTAGATCTTGAAGTGGAGCAGTTGGACGTGAAAACTGCATTTCTTCACGGAGATTTGGAAGAAGAGATTTATATGGAGCAGCCAGAAGGATTTGAAGTAGCTGAAAGGAAACACATGGTATGCAAACTGAATAAGAGTCTTTATGGGTTGAAGCAGGCACCAAGGCGTGGTACAAGAAGTTTGACTCATTCATGAAAAGTCAAACTTACATAAAGACATATTCTGATCCATGTATATACTTCAAAAGATTTTCTGATGACAACTTTATAATATTATTGTTGTATGTGGATGACATGTTGATTGTAGGACAAGATAAAGAGCTGATCGCAAAGTTGAAGAGAGATTTGTCCAAGTCATTTGATATGAAGGACTTGGGCCCAGCACAACAACTTTTAGGGATGAAGATAGTTCGAGAGCGAACAAGCAGAAAGTTGTGGCTATCTCAGGAGAAGTACATTGAACGTGTACTGGAACTCTTCAACATGAAAAGTGTTAAGCCAGTCAGCACACCTCTTGCTGGTCATCTAAAGTTGAGCAAGAAGATGTGTCCTACAACAGTGGAGGAAAAAGGGAACATGGCTAAAGTTCCTTATTCTTCAGCAGTCGGAAGCTTAATGTATGCAATGATATGCACTAGACCTGATATTGCTCACGCAGTTGGTGTTGTCAGCAGGTTTCTTGAAAATCCAGGAAAGGAACATTGGGAAGTAGTCAAGTGGATACTCAGGTACCTGAGAGGTACCACAGGAGATTGTTTGTGCTTTGGAGTATCGGATCCAATCTTGAAAGGCTATACAGATGCTGATATGGCAGGTGACATTGATAATAGAAAATCCACTACTGGATATTTGTTTACATTTTCAGGGGGAGCTATATCATGGCAGTCGAGGTTGCAGAAGTGTGTTGCACTCTCTACAACTGAAGCGGAGTATATTGTCGCTACCGAAACTGGCAAGGAGATGATATGGTTGAAACGGTTCCTTCAAGAGCTTGGATTGCATCAAAAGGAGTATGTCGTCTATTGTGACATAGACCTTAGCAAGAACACCATGTATCATGCAAGGACAAAGCATATCGACGTGAGATATCATTGGATTCGAGAAAGGATAGAGGATGGGTCTATGCAGGTAAAGAAGATCCATACAAGTGAGAATCCTTCGGATATGCTGACCAAAGTGGTACCAAGAGACAAGTTTGAGCTATGCAAAGAACTTGTCGGCATACACTCAAACTAGAACCTCTGGTGTTACCTCCTTCAGGTGAATGGGATTGGAGGGGGAGATTTGTGGGGTCCATCCCCATTAATTAAGGAAGATTTTTTCTTCCTTGTTGGTTCCTTTTTTCAAAATTGGTAGCCTGCAGCCATCATCCCACAGCAGCCCACGTTTTCTTTCTGTATCTGTCAAATATGGCAGGCGTGCAGATAAAATATGTCAAACGTAGTAGGCGGTGTTCTGCCTATAAAAGGAGAGCTTCGGCTCTCATTTTAAACACCAACAAAAGAGAGAAAGAAAGAGTGAGATTTACACCAACAAAAGAGAGAAAGAAAGAGTGAGATTTCACAGACAGACAGGGTATAGGAAAATAGTCTGTGAGAAAAATAGAGAGTGAGCGATATTGTAGTGAGGTGGGAATATCAAAAGAGGGTTATTTCTTTTGAGTGTTGTAGTGGTCTTTGGAGTATTTTACTCGGACCTACAAAGTGTAAAATTCCTTACTATAGTGATATCAGTTGCTCCTCTCGGGGCCGTGGTTTTTCCCTTATTAAAAGGGTTTTTCACGTAAAAATCTTGGTGTCGTTACTCTTTTATTCTTGTTAATTACCGTATCTCGGTGCTACATTATTATTCCGCTTTTATTACCGTGACTATTATTTCTGTGGGGGTTTATTCCCAACAAAAACTACGATAATAGTGAAGCATGTCACTTTAATCTGCTCATAATACAAAATAGATTAGACAAAGGAATTGTCTTAAGTTTAATCTGTGCTTGAAGTAATATGAGCATGGATCACAGAAAGAAAAGAAAAGAGTATACGGAGACGTTTTCAAGATACTATTGCCATCATTTCCAGAAAAAGTCAGAAATCATTGTATAAGAACTTTAGCCCCTTATACTTGACGCATCAGGATGGAAGATTATGTATGGAGTAATTGAGGGATTATAGTTGTCTATTGTTGTGTGTTGTGACTTGTTTATATTGCTATATTCTCCAGCCGCAACATGCATGCATGTGTTGTGTTTCTCCCCTTTGTGCATCGGTATTTTAAGGAGATAGAGATCGTTCCCTGTGAATAGATGTTAAGCCATACTTGTGTCCAGGAAAATTAGATTAAACTTTTCCTCGAGGTCTATCTAATGTTACATATCACACAAGATGTCAATAAAATGTTTTTTGACATATCGTGGCTAAACTTGACTTGAAAATTATTTTGGGGATTATGAAAGAGAGTCTTGTTGTCCCTAATCTCGACGCGCTTGTGAGCTGGCCAGCTTTCTCTCTAATGATTAGTTTATTTGCTATGTGTCGAAGGACACATATTTGATAGGCTTTCGGCTTCCTTTCCCTAATCAAAGGTTACAATTACAAAGGAAGAAACATGAGTTGCCAGAACACCTAGGACATCAGATACCTAGCAAATTTATTAGTTAAATGCTGGAAGAAGGACATGATATTCTATCCACTAGCACATCAGAGTTATTCAGTTTCTAACCTAGTTATCTTTCCTTTTTGCTCTTTCCTATCTGGTAAATGGATATGTTTTGGTTTATTCGTTTTGAGACGTCTACATATTGATTTCCATGCTCCCTCTGTACAATGCATGTCCATCAGTCATGTTGAATTAAATGTAATTGTTAATATGTTCAAATTGATGTCCCTCCTCGAGTTGCAAAACACGACTCAGTTGTAAGGAAGTTTCACTCTCGTATGCCCTGGGTGAAAGAGAAGCCTCGAGATACTTCTACACTCAGGATTGAATACCCTCAGTCTAGGAGAGCCTTTGCTTAGCAATTTCATCTCCTTTTTTATTTTCTGGTGAGAATCATGATGGGTTGAAGATCAAGTAACAAGTTGGCAAAAGGAAGGAGTTCCTTGGGTGGCATGCCAAGCAGTTCAATCCCATATTTTAGACCATGTACTTTAGAAGATCTAACATCATGATCTAAACATTCGATAAAAAGTACAGATTTGCTAAACTATCCAGTGTAATACATCTATAATTTATCTGTGGATTAAGGTACGTGAGTTTACCCAAAAAATGCACCTGTGGACAGAACTTCTATTGTGTGAACAGACTTTTACTGCTAACCTGTTGCTACTCTACTGAATTCTGTATAATTGCATGACCTTTTATTGACATCTGATCATTTTGACTTCATTTGGAAGTAACCAGTTCCTCCTCATTGTCAGCTTGGTTTTGGTTTTCCACCAGCCACATGGATCTTAATGATCTGAACAAGGTCTGGGAAGTCAAACCTTTGAAGAAGGTGCGTGATGATGAGGCAAGAGAAATTCTTGAAAAGGTAGCGAAGCAAGTGCAACCTATAATGCGCAAACGGAAATGGAAAGTCAAGTTGCTCTCTGAATTTTGGTACTCTCCGTTCTTTCCTTTCAGCCTTTTTATCTCCCTATGAGTCTTAACTTTAGCGAACTTTCCTACTTTATATTTTTATCTCTTATTGTTGTTCATGAGCTAATCAGCTAATCTAATTTCACAGTCCTGCCAATCCATCACTTTTAGGACTCAACATAGGAGGAGGTGCAGAGGTTAAGCTTAGATTGCGGCGACCAAACAATGAGTTGGACTTCTTCCCTTATACTCAAATTCTTCACACCATGCTTCATGAACTCTGCCACAATGAATATGGCCCGCATAATGCTGATTTTTATAACCTATTGGACGAAATCAGGAAGGTTGTGTACGTGCATGAGATACTTTTTCACTTAGTTTGGGCCACTTCTCTCATTCTTTTTGTTTCTCCGTGTTCTTACAACTTGCATCTCTAACTATTAGCCTGAATTAGGCTTGTTTGCGTTGCTCCTCCTGATAGTATTGTTTTCCTCCAGCAATACTAGTTCCTCCTTAGAGACACTATAACTGAGTTGTGCTGGGGATTCACCCGCCTCTCACTGTACTTGACAATTGTTTTTAACATTTGCATTTTTAAGCACTTGCACATTATGGCTAAACTTTCCTTCTTTCTTTTGCCAATTTCAACTCTTCTTGTTTCCTTTTTCAGGAATGTGAAGAGCTTATGGCTAAAGGAATTACAGGTACTGGACAAGGATTTGATCTCCCCGGAAAGCGATTGGGCGGGTTTTCTCGACAACCTCCATTGTCATCATTGCGGCAGAAAGCACTGGCTGCTGCAGAAAATAGATCACGAGTTGGAGCACTTTTGCCATCGGGGCCTAAGCGTCTGGGGGGTGATAGTAGCATCAAGGCTGCACTCACCCCAATTCAGGCTGCCGCTATGGCTGCAGAAAGGAGGTTACACGATGATCTGTGGTGCGGCTCCAAAATGGTAGAGAGCGAGGGACCCTCTGAAAGCTCTAAAACTTCAGTAGGACCAAAGCCTGATCATATTTCAGTTCTAGGAACCGATCCTCAGATAATGTGGGAATGTTGTACGTGTACTTTATTGAATCAGGTAATGTCTTTTGCTTTGTCCTTGCTCTTTTTATTTCCTATGATATTCCTGTACCACATAGGAGTTGTGTAAGTCCTCTTCGAAACGCAGCTCACTTCAACCTTTTTTGATCTGACTACATGGCACTGTCCCTTGAAAAACAAAATTATTTTCCCAATCAGATGTCACCTATCAAGATTCTAGATCAGTTTCAGACATCTCAAGATGATGGGGATTGTCATCCGCATATACCTATGTGAGTTTAGAGTCGCCCGTCTGATAATATTCATTTCACCATTGCAGCCGCTAGCGCTTCTATGCGGAGCTTGTGGAACCCCAAAGGATAGAGGAAATGAAGCAAATGCAGCAAAAGTCTGGTCTTGTAAGTTTTGCACGCTGCATAATAGCCACGAGGTTGACCGGTGCTTAGCTTGTGGAGAGTGGAGATACTCTTATGGTCCACCTGTTTCAACCACTGGTCCTCATATTGGCACCTAAACCACGAGAAGCGAAGAATTCTTAAAAAATTACAGGCGGACTTTAGTACAGGTCAGACGTTATTGATTAAATTAATTGCAAATGTGTATATGGTGTAATTAAGTGGCCATATTCACCCTCCTTATTGCCTATTCTGCTCGAGAAACCATCTTTTAATTTGTTAATAGTGTTCGAGAAAAATAGTGTAATTAAAGTAGTTGGTATCAGAAGTTGATATGTTTTTCAACTTTTCACTCAATTGCATGAGTAGAATAATAATTTGATATGCAAATTAGAAAGTCATTTGTCACGAATTATCAAATTTGCGAAAGTAACCACTTTAATTGTATTATGTGTTGGAGTACTTTTAAAAATGATTGCATATAAAGGAAAGGTGCTTAAAGAATAGCTTTATTTCTGATCGCAACATGTTACCGTGTTGACGCTAGCACTTTTCCATATATGCATTGGCAAATGCAATGTACCGTATCTTGATTATTTTGAGATACCAACGTTATACGCTTTCCCCAAATCCTAGTTATCGTATCTCAATTTGTTAAACCCACCGACATCTTTTGCTTGTATCTATGGAGTTTGAAGATCCCTTCATTAAAAATGGTTGGCGTTAATTGCCAAATGAAATTGGTAAAGAATTGTTGTTGAAAATTGTGATAAGTATACATCACCTGCTCACTACTTATATTTAAACGGAGGACCAATCAGTAGAGTTATAGTCTGTAGAGCAACTTATCACTGTCATATTTTCAGTTTTGTTTCTTTATGCAGCAACGAGATTCAGGCATGATTCGCGTGCTTGAACTGGAAAATATGATATAGTAGTAGTTACTATTCATTCTACGTAGTTTAATAAGTAATCTTTTTACATGACTTGCTACTTCAAAAGTATTTAACCTTTCTACTATAGTGTATGCAACAATATAATTTCTATCAAGTGTAAATTTAGTTGAATGTGGTCAAATTTAAGAAGTCTAGATTAAGTGAAGTGTTGGGTTTGTGTTGAAACGAATTTAAACCAAGGCTGTCATTTTGTTTTAAGAAAGAGATGACTAATTCAAGCGGCCATCAATTTGAATTCTAAACGACTATTCGATATGAAAATGAACGGAAGAAAGAGAGTCATTTACAGGTCAATAGAGACGGGCGTTTGCTTGGGGAGCTACTACTATTTCATTTTGGGATATCGACTTCCAGGTCAAGACATTTTCTTAGTTTCCAATTTTCGGTATCCGTGTTCATATTAATCAACAAATTCTTTTTTTTCTCAGGTGATGGTAGTTCTTTTGAATTTAAATTTGAAAGTATGTAATTAACATATCACATGCACCCCAAGTCAAAAGTTAGAAAATGAATTCCAAGGATTCCGAAACTAACTAAAATTAAATTAATCAAAATCAAACTCCTCAATCATAAAATTATTGATAATTTTGCTTTTGGGTTGAGAGAATCTGGTTTTGCAATTTTATTTTTCCCAAAAACAAAATTTGTTATTTGAAACAAAAATGCTGGACAAGAAAATAAAAATAACTATTTTTGTACAACAAACTGTGTTGTTTTAATGGGGTTTATAAGTTCAACTAAGTGAAATCATTATTTTTATTTATTATGATCTGATTTTAGTTTTTTAGTCATGTATTAAGATGATTAAAAAGAAAAAGGAAACAAATGAAGATTTGTATCATCATGGTGAAATCAGAAAAAAATGACATTTAAGACTGATTTCTTTAGCATTTACCCTGACCCTAATTAGTAATTACCTGCCCCACCCCCTACTCTCACACACCCAATACATAAACACCTTTCTCTTTTACTTTTCCTCCTTTTTCTCCTCCTCTCTTACCAAGAAATTTCTCTCTCTATTTCTCTATGGATGGCTGCATTGGATTTCCTTCATCTATTTCCAGCTTAGAACCTTAAAAATCCCTTCATTTCCCATTTCCTCTCATTTCCTTTCCTTCTCTCTTTTTCTCTAATTTTCTCCTTTTTATTTAGAAGCAAAAGATAAAAGACAATCGAATAGCTTTTTGTCCCATTTCTCTTTTTTCTCCTAAATCAATCAATCAATCATGCGACCTCTTCAACCACCCCCACCAGCCGCCGCCGCCACCACCACCTCCTCTTCCACCACCGCATCCCCCATGCCCCCTCCTCCTTCACGCAACCGACCCCGTCGTCGTACCGATTTAACTCTCCCCCTTCCCCAACGTGACCCAGCTCTCGCCGTACCCCTCCCCCTCCCCCCTACTTCCGCCCCTTCTTCCTCCTCGTCTTCCTCTTCCTCCCCACTCCCCACCCCCTTAAACTTCTCCGAACTTGAGCGCATCAATCGCATCGGCAGCGGCGCTGGCGGTACGGTTTACAAAGTCCTACATCGCCCTACCGGAAGACTCTACGCTCTCAAAGTCATCTACGGTAACCACGAGGACTCCGTTCGCCTTCAGATGTGCCGTGAGATCGAGATTCTCCGTGACGTCGACAACCCTAACGTCGTTAGATGTCACGATATGTTCGATCACAACGGTGAAATCCAAGTCCTCCTTGAATTCATGGATAAAGGTTCTCTTGAAGGGATCCACATCCCTAAAGAGTCAGCTCTTTCGGATCTAACCCGACAAGTCCTCTCGGGTCTCTATTATCTCCACAGGCGTAAGATTGTGCACAGAGATATCAAGCCCTCGAATTTACTAATCAACTCGAGGCGCGAGGTGAAAATTGCTGACTTTGGGGTATCGAGAGTGCTGGCACAAACTATGGATCCTTGTAATTCGTCAGTTGGGACAATTGCCTATATGAGTCCAGAGAGAATCAACACAGATCTGAATCATGGACAGTACGATGGGTATGCTGGAGATATATGGAGTCTTGGTGTTAGCATATTGGAGTTTTATTTGGGAAGGTTTCCGTTTTCTGTTGGGAGGTCAGGTGATTGGGCTAGTCTTATGTGCGCCATTTGTATGTCGCAGCCGCCGGAGGCGCCGGCGAATGCTTCTAGAGAGTTCAGGGACTTTATTGCTTGCTGTTTGCAGAGGGATCCTGCACGGCGGTGGACGGCGGTGCAGCTGTTGCGTCATCCATTTATTACCCAGAATAGCCCAGCCACCACCACCACCACCGGTAATATGATGCCACTTCCTAATCAGGTTCATCAGCCAGCACATCAATTGTTACCCCCACCTCCTCATTTTTCTTCTTGACGTTTTAGGTTTGGAGAAATTACATTCCCCTCTTCTGTTTTTCTTATTTTTCTGGTTTTATTTTGTGTAATCTTAAATGTTGTTACTTTTCTATTAATGGGGGATGATGGGTGGTGGTGGTGGTGGTGAAGGGGTGGTTGGATTTTTATTTTTGGAGAAAAAGGAAAAATTGGAGAAATGGGGTCATGGTTATGATAAAGCTCGAGTCTTTCCATTTTCAGCTGATCAACACTTGTTGTTTTTACACTCTTTTATCAGGAGAAAGGGAAGTAGAAATTATGGATTGCCCCAAGTTAATATTTTGGATATGTTTCTTATTGCAAAAATGAAATCTTTTATCAAGTCATGGACTATTTAGCTGTAAAGCATTTCACATGTTGAAGACAAGTGACCATGAAAAGTGAAAAAAGAAAGTTTTCCAATTTCTCTCTTTCCTATAAGGGACGCAGTATCCAGTTTTATTTTATTTTTGCTTGAATTTGTAGGATGATGTTGAACTGGATTTGTGCATCTATTGGTATTGGCTTTTGCTAATTTTGGTGAAGAGTAAGGCAATCAATTGTCTTTTTAGGTAGGGGCTACAGTTTTTCTAGACCTTATGATGATTAGTTCAGATCAATGTTGTGACAGATAGATTTAGTTGAATTTTTCGAAAGATCTTGTATGCTAATTGGGGAAGCTTTTTCTTGTCCAAAGAGAAAAACTTGCGTATTCAAAGAGATGGAGAGAGAGAAAACGGTAGCAAGAAAAAATTGGTAAGTTGGGAAAAAATAAAGGGAAGAACATGCCAGCACTGAAAAGTGATGAAAAAAAAAATAAAGAATATAAAAAATTTGCTAGGAAAGGTGCATCTCTCTAGTACCTACAGACCCTTTTGCCTTGTTATTAGTACGTACCGAGTAGAGTGTTAGAGTGAGCTGCTGTAGCAAATTGGAAAAGGATTTGGTGTAATACTACTACTATTAGAAAAAGATAAGTAGGGCATTATCTATCTCTTTGTGGGCTGTTACAGACTAGACTAGCCTGCTTGGTTCTGCCCCCTTTTCTATATTGTTCGTGTGAAGCCTCCTGCTATTTCCGAATATTATTGTCTGTCACATTATATGCTTGCCTGCTCTGGAGAATCCCTTATTGATTTGCAGTACGGACAGATACTGGTTTAGATAATAGCTACTCATATGTAATAGATTTGGTTGCTTGGTTAATTTTAGATGCTGATACTTCTGAACTTAACCATTTTATGTTTTTTTTTTTTTTTAAGGGGGGGGGGGGGGGGTTTGTGGATTATACTGTATGGCTAGAAAAGAGATAGGAATCATTTTAAATATATCCTTAATAAGTAATTATCCTCATCCTAGCATCATACATTATTGGTAACATTCATATGCTTAATTGTGATCTTTCAACTTTGCTGTACAAGTCTGCTGTTCAATGAATTGATAGTGATTGTCCAGTTGGAAGATTCTTGTGTTGCGTCTAGTATAGAAATTGATGGATGAGGCCCTCCGGGCTTAGGTCTAATTGTAAGAGACGTCATATTGGTTCGAGTTCTGCCACAGACAAATATCTGGTATTTAAAGTGTCTTGTAATAATACTATTATTAAGTGAAAATGGGTAAAGAGGCGGGCGCCTATTCATCAAGTTTTGAATTTCGCATAAATGGATTTCTCGGTTTTAAAAAACATGATGGATGAGGTCATCACTGAACAATGAAAGACCCATTAAGCAATACTTAGGTTAAATAGGTTGACAGTGAAAAAACTTATCACGCGGAGTTTGGTAATCAATTTGTTGATCAATTCCATTTTATTGGGCTCGTTCAAAACAGGAACAGCTATCGTCAATCCTGCGCGTTCAGTTGGCTATTATGACCGCAAGGATACAATCACTCGTTTTCATTTCTCAAAAGAAAATAAAAGAATTACTCGTTTTGGAAGAAAATAAGCAATGACTTTTCTCTTCTAAAATCTTTTGTGGAATATTTATTGGAAAAATAAGCCTTCGGCTGCCAATACAAAAATGATGAATGTGGCATTAATTAAGATGTAAAGAAGGGAAAGGAGGGTGGGGTATCTGAATAGGAGTGAATCTAAGTTTAGTGAAGGGAGTTGATGAATCTCCCCATAATCGCTAAATTGACATGAAAGAATGAATAAAGGCATAAAGCCGTAACCCCTGTCGCCCTGTCATATATTCTTTTCTTTTTCAGTTGTCAACATTTACACCTTTGCTTTTCTTTTCTATAATATAACCTACTTTGGATGGTGGAGTTAGTTTCAGCTAATGACGCTGGCATAGACGATTCAATCTCGATTTATACAGTTTGTATTCTTCTCTATTTAAATACTTCATTTTTGTCTGTAACAATGTACGAATTTGTAACGTGTGTACAATACTCTTATCACTAGACCAAAGTCCTGAAAATATATTGTTCGGATGTTGTTGTGATTGAGCCATACAATGACAATCACAAAGGTGTGTCTGTCTCAAAGGTTCTTTCAAACCCATCAATAACCACGCAAAACAATAATGGCAAAGAGTAGGCCAACTTAGTTTTCATGAAAAGTCATGATAATTACATTACCAAAAATCTCAAAGGTGATGTATTTCAATTACAGCAAGGCAGAATCCATATACGATGAGATTGTAACACGACCGACTTTTTCATTTTTTTGTTTAACTGGACACATAATCACTAATCACTATACATGCCTTTGTGCGTAATGATATTATACTCTAGCCATGTGTCGTGCTATTATTGAATGTTATTATTGTTGGCCAGATACTTGGGTATGTGTCCAAGTGTCAACATAATACATAGGCTTATTATTTTTATACAAGCTAAGAATAAAGATAGAAGCCAAATGGGGGTGTGGGATTGTGGGATAGTGATACTATGCAACTCAAGCCAATTCATCCAAGGCTACCACATTGCTTGGTGCTTCATCTGCAGATTAATTATTTTGAACTCTATTCTCGTTAGCAATTTAACCTTCATACCCATATTATACTTGAATTAATATCGAAATTTGATTAAATGAAATAAAGGGTCTTCACGAGCATGGCCAAGGAGAATACATTATACTCATGCCATCACCATATGATTTTGAATTGCGCAAAGCTTGTCACAAATTAATCATGTGCCAGGAATCAGATTTGAACTGGTGACACAACTATTTTCAGTCCTCTGCTCTAGGGCTGCTTATCGGGCGGATTGGGCGGCTTTTTACTCTTAACGGTTATCGGCTTTTAAATGTATTAAACCGTTAGCCACCCGATAAGATATCGGACAGATTGGTATCGGTTTAGCTCTCATCGGCCTAACATACATATTCACTAAATATCTCCCCTTCTACTGACTTCTTCAGCTATAATATGTATTGAAAAACTGAATCTTTGTTAGAAGTCAGTTATATGGATTGTTTTTCTTTGTTTTTGCAAAGCTAATTTGTTCGAAAGTTTTATTTTTTTTGGGTGCTTTTGATTCCAAGTCTGTCATTTCTGGTGAATTCAATTCTACTGACTTCATTAGTTGTAATATGTATTGAAAAATTGAATCTTTGTAAGAAGTCACTTAATCTGGAAACCCTCAGGGGTTGGCCTGGTGGCAATAGACTTGAGCCTTGGGGTTTGCTCCCTTTCAAGGTCTCAAGTTCGAAACCCACTGGGTGCAAACAATTTCTGAGGGCCATCGGACTGGGTAAAACCTGAATTAACCGTGGTGCACTTGCGGGAAACTCCTTGCCGAGGGCCTGTGCACCCCCGGGATTAGTCGGGGCTCTTAGAGACTCGGACACCCGGTGCAAATCAAAAAAAAAAAAAAACGTGTACACTAACTCTGGATTGTTGTCTCTGTTCTTGT